ATATATTATGCATATACATGTGCACACACACACACATATATATATATATATAAATATATATCACACACATATACAGACGCACTCGTGTGCACACATCCACAGCCACAACCACAGCCACACACACATATATACATACTTAAACTGGTGAACTACACATATATGAAGAAGTACAATGGCATAGAACGCTGTCATAAACACAGATAGCACGGAGGGCCGCTACTCACCGGCCTTAACGCAAAGCCCAATGTTCACACAAAAACGACACGAAAGCAAAACATACCGTTCAACTCACAACAGACAAAGCTACACTTTACTCACGTACATACACACGAACTAAATATAGGAAACATACATCGTCGATGGCCTCAGCTATTTCAGCAGGAGAGATGGTCGCATCATGATTGACACGTGTCTCCTCCCTCTCCAGGTTAACCTTTATGCTTTTGATGTTGGGGTGAACGCCTAGGGTGCCTTCTATACTGTTGACACACGAGTGACATGTCATGTGCAGCACGCGTAGTGCCGTCCATTCACTCATATTGCGTATATACTTAAACGCAAGTGTAAAGTGTAGTTTCAATTCAGATCTAAATACGACAGTTTATGTGTCGATGGGGTATGAGCTTTTGTTTTCAAATATATATACGTAGACTGGTTGCATATATATGTATGTCTGATGGTGCAACTGCTTTAAAATTTGTACCAGCTGGAGATCAAAGTCAGCTCACAATTATAAATACCTCAATTGTCCACTTCAACACTTATGAGTGAAGCATGAGAGGAACTTTTGATACGCAGCTGTCGCAGTCCTCCACTGAATACTATGTAAATATCATTTGCCTGTATGTAAAGGAGCCATACAAACTGAAGGCTGAAAGTACATGCAATTAATTTATTACAAAAAGTGAGAGTACCTAGGGTTGGGTTATGGGAATCTTCTGCCTCTGGGGACTTCTTGGGAGTCTATTGTGGGGATATTATTTTTTTAAATAATTATTTAGCAGTAATTACACAGTGGGTAGAATTAGGTACAGAACAGTTCTTATTCAGAAAACGGGATGAATCCTGATCTCTATTAAATTTAAAAAAAATCACATACGACTACGTACATGCTGTATGTACAGAGAAAAACGGGTCGAACGTGTCCATTTCATATGAAAACTAGGCTCTGAAACCTGTTTGAATATAGGACATAAATTTTGGCTTTCTTTGATTTTATATATATAATAAGTATATAATTTATAGATTTTAAACACAAGCGGTAAGGAATTCGAGAGGGGAATGAATAATGATTCACTGATTCTCTAGATCTGATGAATACGGGTCCTCACCAAATCATTGTCATTGAATTCATTGGATGTTCGTCTAAAACTATAAATCGCCCCGTCCCCACTGGTAATCGACCACTAAAAACAATGTAGTGTGATATCCTCGAGAGTATCTATCAGTATAAACAGGATTTTTGTAATTAGTTACATATTTATGTAGCTAAATACACATAGCCTTCTGAAAATTACACAAAATACAGTACATTTGTTTTTGGTTTTTAATATTAAGATTTTACTATAAAAGACAAAAGGTGTTACTAAAAATCTAAAATATCCCGCAGAGCTGGGCCCTGGCGCTGAGGCCCTGAGACCAGTGGCCACTGATGAGGCTGCGGCGCTGAGCTCTGTATGATAGCCTTCTCACCTTCTGTAATCTGTGAAAATACGGAGTGTACTATTTTTAAAAACAAATAAAAGAATAAACCAAAATATATAAAGAGGACAAATCGTTTAAAAGTCCTGAGTCCCGGTATCCAGTGCCCACTGTGGCCCAGCCCCACACTCCAGAAACAGACTCTACGGTCCACAGTCCACAGTTCACACTTGCAGACTCCACAGTCCACACCTAATTATGTACATAGGTCCGCCCTCACAGACTCCACTGTCCAAACCTAACTACATAGGTCAATGCTCACAGACTCCACCGACCACAGTCCACACTCAACAGCCAACAGGCCACAACGCCATATTATCAATTGATGATGTCAGAATGAGTCATGTGCAGTGCCCTTACGGCTTTTATACTGTCATTCATATGGCACACCGTAACAAACAAACACTAACAGCCCCAAGTTATAAATAAGATATATCTGTATTCACATTTACATCTAAATCGGTTACTTACATGTGATCGTGATGTCGGGGAAAAATTTTGAGAGTCCAACGCAGTACACACAAGTGGCAGGATTTGTACCTGTGCTTGGACTGCCTGTACTCGACATGTTGAAGGCAAAGGCTGGTGAACGCATACTGGACATTGGTGCCGGGGAGGGCAAACTTACAAAGCAAATGAAAATGGTATGCAGCGAAAACTTTCAATTATAGTGTGTACTTGACGCAACAAATCTCTTATAGATTAGAGAAGTACTCATGAAAACATAATAGCCTATACATACTCTATTATTAGGCATGTATCTGAAACTGTGGTCAATTTAGCACAATGTTACATTAGCAAAATTATAATATACCTAAAAAATGCAGAAGAACATATACCACTATCCTTGATCATATATGTATATATATATAAATTTTTATATATATATTTATTTATATATATATATATATATATATATATATATATATATATATATATATATATATATATATATATATATATATATATATATATATATATACTATATATAGTATATA